TGTTATTCTGTGTTTTAGCAGTGTGTGTTAGTGGTGTGTGTTTTAGCAGTGTGTGTTAGCTGTGAGTGTTAGCGTGTGTGTGTTATTCTGTGTTTTAGCAGTGTGTGTTAACGGTGCATGTTAGTGTGCGTGTCAGGTGGTCTGGTTCAGTTACGATTATAAAAGCATTATAAACCTTCAGTTTCTCACAGCGATCATTTTAAGCTCCTGCAGAAGAATCCGGTTGTTTTTTGGCGATGCTAACCTCAGGGTTAGCTTACAGACTCCACACCTGCGTCTCTCCGTGTGTTTATGCTGCTGCAAGCCACCTTGCAGCCCACGTCTGACCCGGATCGTCCTTTTCTGCTGTTTATGACGTTCATCAGTGTCTTGCGTCAATGACATGCTCCTGCTGTCAGCAGTTTCATCACTCAATCTGACGTGCGTTCGCTAGGAGTTAGATCCTGCAATCATGGGGCATCTGGGACGGCCTTCGGCTATGGGGTTCAGAGACTGCTGGTCGGTCCAAATTCATGGGCTGCATCCTCCTGAGGACCCGGCCTTCGCGGTCTACGTGGGCCGGGTCCTCAGAAGGTCGGGTAGGCCGGAAGTAAACGGCCGTGGGAAATTGGACGGTCTAGCCTTCTGATTAGCGTCACCGCTGTCTCGGTGGAGTTTAATAAACTCAGCCGTCTGCTCCTTGCTATCTAAAATATAACAGGACACTGGGTAAATTCTCGACCGTCTCACACTTCTGTTTAATCAGTTTTCTGTTTGACGTTTAGTCAGCTGTGTGAAAACCAAGGAGGAACCCACCCGGGGGATTAATAAAGTTTTATTTTATCTAATCTAATAACTTTAATCTCAGCCAAACCGATTTACTCACGAACAAACAAAACACTGAAAAAAGCCCAACAATAACATTTTTAGGTTGTCTAAGTGACTTATATATTACGTTTAACCCGAGCAGCGAAAGTCCGCGGTGATCTGAAAATGATGTGCCGGGAGTTGTGCCGTTCTCGGCGCGCATCAGTAACCCTCGAGCTCCCGGCTAGCTTCGAGCTGGTGGGTAGCAGACGTCTCCGAAAACGTCGAAGCACTTTTGCAAATATGCGATATCTTGATAAACCGAGCAGATATTTGATGTTTACACAGCTACTTTCTCCCTGAAAATATGTTAAAAGTTTATTTTGTGACCCAGAAAGATTAGTAAGAGTAATTTTAAAACTTAGTAGCGGCGCCATTGTTGGAAACTGGAGTTTGGCTGGGCCGCGCTATGAATTCTGGGATATGGTGGGCCACGAAGGACACACCCGACCCATCCTTCAAATTCGGGGAAAAGGAGGACGCATTTGTCGGCTGCATTCGGAGGAGTCTACGAATTTGGACAGCCTTCGGCACGTCGCTGTGACGTAATCGGTCTACAAATGCGGCCTCAGGAGGATGCAGCCCATGAATTTGGACACGACCTCTGTGTTCTTGTAGCAGAAGCACAGCGTCGGCCATCTTTGTGTTCAGGTGCCGTCATTGTGCTCTTACTCTGTTCTTCCTTCCAGCAGGTGGCGACGTCAGCCCGGTCCCTATTCGCTCCAGCAGCACCTTACCCACCCCCCAGCCCGGCAGCGCCCCCTCCACGCCCACAAACACCTCCAACAAGACCTCGTGCACGTCCACCGCCAATGCCGGGGAGGAGGAGCAGGAGCGAGGGGACCTCATCCACTTCTACAACAACGTGTATATCAAGCAGATGACGCCCTTCGCTCTGAAATACTCGCCAAACTCGCTGTCTGCAGGGGTACGTGGACTGAGCTGGGAGCCATTTAGCTGATCAATAACATTATTGATTATTAATGCAGCAGCTTAGTGTCTGTGAAGCTGATGATGAGACTTCTGGACCAAACATTTAAACTTGACTCATTTTAAATCCAAGATGTTTAAATATCAATAAATGTCATTAAAAAGGCTCCAGCAGCACAAACACAGCCCAGGCGGAGGCTGACGGTTGGGCGTGACAGCATCGTTCTCCTGACCTCTTTGTTTTTCTCATGCTCAGGTCGAGACCCCCCCTCTGTGTCCGTACCCCTCCGTGAGGACCGGCTCTCCCCGCCGGATGCTTCTGTCCAGCAAACACTCCATCTACATCTCGCCTCACAAGGCAGGCTCCGCCCCCTCACTGATGACCCCCAGGGAAAAGATTCACTACTACATCTGCAGCAGCCCCCCCAACGTAAGCCCCCACACGAGTCACTGCTCACGTTCACAGCAGCTATTTTATCCGTAACGACGTGTTGACGCCACGCTGTTTCTTCTCGTACGGAAACCAAACTGTTGCTTTCCTCGTGTGTCTGAAACGTTCTCATGATTTTAAAACCTTCAGTGGTCGATTTACACTCGGCTTCTCCCGCCGGCGCCGGCGCACGGCAGCGGTGGTTAGAAAAACGAGCGAGAGTCTGTCGTACCTCTGAGGTGTACCTGGGCTTCGTGATGCAGGCAGAGGTCAGAGGTCCGTTTATAACTTCACATGATGTTCAAACAGTTTATTATACAGGATACAGTTTGGCTTTTCAAAATAAAGTGTTCCTCTGATGTTTTCTGAGAAACTGAGCGTAAAACCAGCTTCCTGTCCCAGCAACGGTCGTCTCGAGGTGCTTCATCCTCTAACTTTATTTAAACAGGTCCATGTGAACGCGGACACAGGTTAGCTGTAGCTCATCAATATTCAAGTGTTATTATTTAACATCTTTAAACAGGAAGTCAGATTATGGAGGGATTCCTGAAAGTACGATAAAATGGTCCCCCCTGCAGGACGCCGTCGTCACCCTGAAACAGTTTAATAAACGAGCTCCGAGATCAAAGAGTCAGGAGTTTGAGCATGTGCAGCTCAGCCCGACAGAGCTTTGAACACTAATCTGTGACCTCTGACCCTTCAGCGTCTCCAGGAGATCAACAGCATGATCCGCACCGGAGAGACTCCGACCAGGAAGCGTGGCATGGCTCTGGAGGAAGGAGCCTCGCCCAAACGCGTCTGTCCCGACTCCAACGCTCTAATGCGCCGCCTGCAGGACGTCGCCAACGACCGCAGCTCCTCCCAGTGACGCACGCAGACACAGACGGAGTGTTTTACTGTGAAGGAGCAGCTTCCTGTGTTTTAGTCGTATTTTCCTTTCTGTTTTTAACATCAATGTTTTAAATCTGTCGGTTTGGTCTTAAACTTCGTGGCCTGCGTGTTTCGTCTCCTTCGCTGTCCCATGTCTGTAAATACGTGTACAGAAGAGCAAAGAGAAGCTATTTAATGGAGCTCACAGCTGTAAGTTAAGTGCCTTTATTTTGTACTGTTTACATCCTGCAGGCGTTTCCTTGGTTACAGGCTCCTGATGTAAAAACAATAAACTGTGTGAACTGAGCCGGCTCCCTCTGTCTATGTGAGCTGCAATAAAACTAAGTGTGGAAAAGAAACCAGCAGCTGAGACTAGGACGATGGGTGGAGACGCTGTTAGTGACATCAGAGAGGGGGCGTGGCTACAAAATGTTCAACATAACTCTGTGTTAGCTCGATCAACAGGAGTCCAGTCGGGGGTCTGAGCGTGCTCGTCAGACATTTTAAACCATCGCTGCAATCATCACGTGGAAGTTACCAGAATCTGAGAGATGAAACGCCTCTGCTCCAGTTCTCACTCAAATGGGGGACGCCGCTGACATCTTCTGGCTTCACTTTATACCTGTTCACGTCGTCTCCGACTGAGGACCCCAGTTTACCTCCCAGAATGAAAGAGTTCTGTGCTTAGGTTAGTCTCACCTGGCTTCAATCCCAGAGCAATGTGCAAGCAGAGACTCAACGGACCAGTTGTGACCTCCTCAGCATCTGGACCATTCAAATCCTGACTTTGTCTTCAACCTGCTTGGTCTGTAGAAGGCGAGCTGCCTGTTCCAGCAGTATGACATCATCTATGCTGGTGACAAACAGTTGTGTACTGACAGACGACGGCGCTAAAAATGTTTTTAAAAACGTAAACTTTAATCGCTTATTTGTCAAATCCAGCTTCACAGCCAGAGTTACATCTGAGAGCTGCGCTCCACGATGGAAACACAACTGAAACTCTAAACACACACACAGGGATCACCAAAATAAAACAGGAAATAACAACACGAAGACAAGAGAAAAAGAGAACTAATAAATGCGGGATCGTCAATAAGATTTTAATAAGAAAATAATTCTTGGGGGGAAAAAGTTTCAAGATAAAATATAACGAGTATAATGATTAAAGAAAGTTAAAGTGTTCACGTGATCAGAAACAGCCACTCTGACACAGCGTCACTGAACACCTCTCACCAGCAGGGGGCAGCAGACCAAAGGGTCGAACTACATCTCTGCTCCAAAGTTCGAGTTACTGTAGACCAGGAGTCGGCAACCTTTCTGATGATGAGTGCATCTAAAGTTTCCTCAGACGTCAGTGTGCTGTATGACTGCATTAGCAATAAATGTAATAACGCTCTATATGAACAGTTACACACTGTATAGAACAACTTTACAGGATTATATTTGTTCACAGATGTTGGCAGCGAATAGTTTTCAGCTATTTTGAAACAAAGAAAAAGACTTTTATCCATAACAGCAAATGAACTGAACAACAGACAATACAAATGCTATTTATGGCCTCCTTACGACAATGATAAGAAAAATAAACTGGGCCAATTTGGCATGTTTGTTAATACAGGGACACACATGTTACTGTGATCTCTGGTCTCCCACTCAGACACACAGGTCTCCCAGTGTCCAGCATTCAGAGGCTGCCTGAGGACTCATGTGAGAGAAAACCTGCTCACTCAGACATGTAGAGCCAAACACTGTCAATAAGGCCTCTGCAATGTTCTGAAGACAGTTAAACCTGTCAGGTAGTGATGTCCAGCAGGTGAACATGCAGCTCCATGAACACGCACAGCTGTGGATTCCAGCTGCTTCGATGTCGCATTAACTGGTATTAACTCAGCCAGTTAATGCGAGACAAACCAGCTGCTCATTAAAGCTTCCGAGACTTCCGAGTCTTCGGATGTATCCGTGAATCTCCGTGGTGCTGATGCTGCGCTGAGCCGTAAGCTGCTGAAGCTGCTGTCTGAAGCTTTTGAAGTGTCTAAATGTGGAAATTTCAACATTTCTTGATAAAACTGCCAGCTAGCAAGTTATTTTTAGCCAACTACAAGTTGAACCTGGTAGTTGGGTTGTTAGTTAAGATACTGTCATTAAGAAGCGGCACAACTAATGTGTCTATGCGAGCTGATTTGCGATGTGCACCGCTGGCCCGGCCATTTATTTGTTAATGCACCTTCTCAGATTAACTCACTGCGTGTTGTGCCCAGGGCTGGACTGGGACAAAAAAAATTGGCCTTTTGACGAGAGACCGGCCCCCCCAGGTATTAAAGCCATGAAGCCTTTGAATGAAAACAGACGCTGTTGTGACAGTGATGTACAGTCTTGTTGGTATATGTATGATTTCTATACATTTTACATCAGATAAAAACGTTTGTTGTAAGCTTCAGATAATTATTTAATAAAAGTGAGACATTTTAAATGAGAATAAGAAAGAAAAGTATTTCTTTGTGCCCCCCTCTCCCTGTTAATGCCCTACCTGCCCCCCTGGCAACACTTTGCTAGACCCGCCCCTGCACAGTTACCAGCTGTCAGCTACCTAGAAAAGGATCCTGGTGTTATTTGTCTCTCAGAAACAGCTCATAACTTCAACTCATCCATGTCACCTAAAAGGTAAACCTGTTTCTCCATCACCTGTTCAGCTCTGATGATCCAGTAAGGACATCTCCTGGTTTCATCTTCATGTTTCCCTCTCATCACATATCCAAACCATCATGACCAGCAGCTTTACAGCTGTGGCTCCAGCAAACATCAGCTGATACTAGAAATTAATATTAAATAAATTCTAACAACAGCTGATCAAGCTTAAACGTGCTGCTGTTGTTTAGTGCGACATCCGCTGGTTTCCTCTTTCTGGCGCAAAGTGAGCGATAAACAAACAAGAGAGCCGATCAGCTGATCACTGATCAGTTTCATGATTGAAGTAGAAACGGGAGAGGGAGGGGGGAGAATGAGAGAAGAAGAGGCAGCTGTGCAGCAAAGACACAGAATAACTCCAGCTTTGTGTCTTTTTCATTGTAGCTGAATTACGGGACAAACTGTTCCTTTTCACCTCAATAAGAAACGCGTAATATTTTCTCTGAATGCGGGACGATTCTGTTTTCTACAGGATGGTATGTCCACATATGTCAGGATAGATGGAGCCCTGGCTGAGATTATTCGGGTTTGTGTATTTAAAACATGTAAAAAAGAATCAGTTCATGGTAATAAAATGTTGATAAAAGGATTGAAAATCATCTGCTTAGATAAATAAAAAGGATTTCATGTTCAGTTATTATGCAGGACAATTTGGTTAATCTCAGCGACATGTAGAAAACTCTACAGGTGGTTTTAAAGAGGAAACCATGGCTGCATTCATCACGTTCTCCTGGTTCCTCATTCATCTGCCTGCTTCTCGGTCCCGCTCATCGGTTCTTGCTCTCGCTACGATCAGCTGATTTCAGTCGGTGTGTCGGGGGAAAGTGGGCATTACTTTTATTTTTATTGCACATAAATGTGATGGTGCAGTGGAGCCTGCTCCAGGACAAAAACAACTGCATCATGTTGCAACACAGCTTCAGCTCTTTGCAAGCACCGGCACAGGTAGCATGCTAACGCTAAGCTAAGAGGGGAAATCCCTCCAACCTGCACAAACATGTGACCCACAGCATGCGTAGAGATGCTGGAGACTCTTACAGTGGAGCCAATGACAATCAATAAGGAAGTTATGTCGATAATGGGATCCAATCACTTATCAGTGCCCATCCCTGGTGACTGCACAGTGCTAACTGCTCAGCTGTGACCGCCTTGGCCACTTTAATGAGAACTGTTTTAACTTTTAAGGAAAAGGTTTTGTTTATAAAAGAAAGAACAGCTGGAGCTTCAGAGACCCTTTTACTCCCCAGATAAATGCCTGTTGAGAGGACAGTTTTGTGTCAGATCCAGCTGTGGGGGTCATTGTTAATCTTATCAGAAGCCACTGGTTACACATCGCAGCACAGCGAGATCAGGTCCAGTCTTATCAGAGCTACGTGGGACAGCTTCGGCTGGTCCAGCTGCAGCCTCATCGTCTTCGCCTGGTCCGGCTCCAGCATCCTCAGCGTCGCCGGGTCCGGCCTCTGCATCCGCATCAGCGTCGCCGGGTCCGGCCTCTGCATCCGCATCAGCGTCGCCGGGTCCGGCCTCTGCATCCGCATCAGCGTCGCCGGGTCCGGCCTCCGCATCCGCATCAGCGTCGCC